ACGGAAAAGGACCGAAAACTTCATCTAGACGATCGAATTTGACCCCGCCACAAGCCGTCAATGCGAATCGGTGACATGTATAGATCTCGCTCTCCCGATTCCGAAATGGTATTATGGGCTGAAATCGGACACCTGTAGCAAAAGTTATGGCCAAAACGGTTTCCGCCGAAAAACTGGCCCCGGTGAATGCTGAAACCCTAGCCGCCGCCTCCAGATTGATCATCTTCATCACGTTCGACTTTGAACAAAAAATTACAAAAAATCGAACAACAACAACCCTACTACAGTCTACAAAATCGCCTATACTACCCACACTTATTATCTGGTGGGAAAAACGATTACAACAAACAACAAGGGTTGCGATAGACACCATCCAGAAGCATAAACGAGATAAATATTCATCCAAACCCTGAACATGACTGAAAACGAATAAACAAATAAACAAAATCAACTACATGTTCCAGGAAGAGCCGACAATCTACGAAATCGAGGCTCTGATACCAATTGCTGAAACACGCCGACGAGGCGGTCCTACCCACGGATCGATATCGGATACCAAACATGTACATACATGATTTCGAATAAACCTAAGCATGCTCCTAAAGGACGAACAGAAATATACCTTTCTTCAAGGCTTCAGATCGATCTGAGCGATCTTCTAGTCTGTGTCCCGACCATGTTTGGACGTCGGATGGACGACGATCCTCCAAACGGTTGAAAGGAGCGGATTGCCTTTGTTCTTCTCTGAACCCTTCGCGTAACTTTCTCCTCACGATGGTGGCTGAAGATATCACGTTTTGTGATGCTGCGTAGGGTTCAAGAACGTGTGGTTATCCCTCCTTTTATAGAGTCCTTGGGCCAGACTAGGGATCTCTTAGAAGGTATAGGGTTTGGGCTCCCTACAGGCACAAATTCTTATGTTCAGCCAAGAACACAATTTGGCCCGTAAATATTAATTCATTCCACTAGAGAATTAATATTGCACTCCCGTCCTATCCCGAAATGAATCGGGGCTTCTATTAGACTCGATATAATTCCCCGTGTTTAAGATATCGCACGTCCATTAATTATTAAAGCTTCTGACTGCTTTAATTATTTAATATCTTTTATTCCTTAAGTAGTACCACTCAACCTTATTATCGTACAGAATAAATCCACCTGCAGGGTTTATACGATAATCCTTAGGGTTGTCAGAAAAACCCAGAGGGTCGGGTTACCTGTGGGTAACCCAGAATATCTGATCGGGTAAACCTGAAAATACCGGGTCGCGGGTCGTACATGGGTTTTTTTCCCATACCCGCATGCCGGGTCGGGTTGGGTATGGGTTTAATGAGAAAACCCAACACCCGACCCATTTACCCTACCCATTTACCCGATGGGTTTTTTACCCGACCCATCCTTTTACCCGGCCCGATTACCCGACCCCCTAATAATTATAAATACATATAGATATACAGAAAATACATGTTCCAAAAAATAATATTTGGTAACTAAAGTATTTTTAAATTTTCATACATATTGAAGAATGAAGATGGAGTAGTCGAGTAGATCATTTATATAATTTAGGATGAAAATAAAAAAAAAAAAAAAAAAAAAGAGCAGACCTGTTAGTCTATGCAGCAAGCAATAACCCATCCTCATCAATCATCATTAATATTAATATATTTGCAAATTGCAATTTTGCGCACACGCATTCCTGTTCTTGTGCTTCTTCACAATCAAAATAACTATAAACCCCTATAAATACCCATCTTTTTATCCGGCCTAATTACCTACACACCTAATAACTATAAGTATAAACATATATACAAAAAATACATGTTCTGAAAAAAAAAAATAGTAATTAAAGTATTTTTTAAATTTTCATAGGTATTGAAGAAGGAAAGTTAGGACCTAACTATTTGTTACTTATTCTATTTTATCTAGTTTATACAACATATATATGTTTTATCTTTATAAGTATGAGTCTCACATATATAAATATGATCAATTCATAGTTTTATATATAAAAAAAAATAGATCTATATTTTGAAAATTGCATATATATAATAAATAAAAATGAACTAGATAAATAAATTTATACGTGTATTGTCTATTCTATATATTTATATCTTTAGAAATATTACAAACTATAAGCAATTAAGTATTATCCATGTAAAATGTTGTGTATAAATCTATAACGCTACTTCTTTGGAGTATGATTGGTAATTCGCGAAACGCTAAAATGATGTATAATATGCGAAGAGATAATAACATACTTTATAACACATATAAGTTATGTGTTAAATTTAAACAACTATTTTTTTTAACAAAGTGACAGATATCTCTCACTAAATCATTTCAAATAAGTATTATATTGACAATTTGAATTTAAAAGTACATCTTATTACATATTTTTCAACAGAAGCAAAAATTAATTTCAGTCTTGCAATTAGGGATATTTTATAATAATGCATTTTATAATAATGTGTTATAAACCCTCGCCACCCGCTGTCGCATACTCGCATTCTCATCTCATCTCGGCATCTCCCACCGGCCACCGCTGCACGCTGCTCTCAGTCACAGCCGCCTCTGATTTCTTGCCGCTCCGGACGGCTACGACAACATATATGCTCCAGAAGTCCACGACCACAGAGTAAACTGTAAGACATTTTCTTCTTGTAATCATGTTTAATTTAATCAAAGTAACTGTTGAAGGACTGAAAATTTGATGTACACGTGGTAAGGGCGTAGAGGTAGTGAAACTCGGAACCTAAAAAAGAGTGAAAATTGTGTGGTTTGTGGAAGGGCTGAAAGGGTGAACTCTGTTCCCTATTAATGGAGTGGATGATTGAGCCTGACTCATGTGTTTTTCATGCAGAGTGACCTCTGCATATTTACTGTGGCTTCATTTCCATCCATATTTACTGTGGCTTGATAATTGTGTGCAACACTCTGAATTCAATTTCTTATATTTAAGTGCTATTATAAATGACTGAATGTTTTTTCAATTGTGGTTCAGATATCAGTGTGCTTCATTTAACATGATGTCGCCTACGCTGTCTACTAATACCCAACAGTCTGGACACATTGGTAGTAGTCACCCGGATGAAATTTCACCATCACCAGCAGAGTCTGCTCCACCTATTGGTGTTGGTGTGTGTTCCTCCTACCTCTAGTGAACCTCCTCCACCAAGTGAACCTCCACAAAACGGAGGTGACAATGGCGATCATAATGCTGGTGCTCAAACTACTCATGCGAGGAAATATACTTCTCCAGTATGGAATCACTTTGACAGGATCACAATTAATGGGGAGTTAAAAGCAACTTGTCATGTTTGCAAGAAGAAGCTCTCTGCAGGTGCTAAAAATGGAACTCATCACTTAATAGAACATGCCAAAAGATGTGCCCGAAGGACTTCAACAGCAAGTGATATAAGGCAGTGAATCATATCGGCTAGCAGGGAATCAGACGAAAAAACAGAGTTAAAGAATCATTCATATGATCCCAATTTAGCCCTACTCCATCTTGCATATATGGTAATCATGCATGATTATCCTCTTCGGATGGTTGAGCACAAAGGATTTAGAATGTTTTTGAATACTATACAACCGCTCTTCAAGCCAATCTCAAGGAACACATTGCGCACTGATATTATGAAGATATTTAGTGAAGAAAAGAGTAAGGTAATGACTTTATTGGAGAGAAATGATAGCAGGATTGCAATGACGACTGACTTGTGGACTGCTAGTAATCAAAATAAGGGATACATGGCAGTGACCGCACACTTCATTGATAATTCTTGGAGGCTACAGAGCAGAATTGTGAGGTACATTTTCTATTATTTTGTATGTTAATGTTATGATGTGTTCCACTTGTCCAGAAAATAAATTTATATTATATGGCGTTTTTGTTAGCATTTCTAGGAAATTTTATCTGGTCACGGGGATACTTCCCAGCAAAAAATCACGAGGAATTTATAGTTGTTGTTTTCTATCACTAATATTTGTAATGTGTTACTATTGTTTATATTTGTGATTGAGTTGTAAAGTAAATATTAGAGTTAAAATGTAAAGCAAACATTGCATCTAATATGAAGTAACTAACAGTATATTAAAGCTACTAAAGCTATTAAATTAAATCTGTAATTTTAATTGTTTTGTTTATTTATTTATTTTGTATGTTAATGTTATGATTGTCTCCTACTTTGTTTCCATCCTTAGGGTATTTGTTTTAATTAAATGTAGGTTTATGTATGTTCCTTGCCCACACACAGCTGATGTAATTTGTGAGGCTTTGTTTGATTGCTTAATGGATTGGAATATCGATAGTAAGTTGTCAACCTTGTCATTGGATAACTGCACTACGAATGATTCTGCTGTTGGTATGCTATCAATATTGATGAACAAATTCTCTCCTGACTCTTTGTTGTTGAGTGGACATTACTTACACATGTGTTGTGCTGCACATATTTTGAACTTAATTGTGAAAGAAGGTTTGAAAGTAATTGGATAGCATTGAAAAAATCAGAGAAAGTGTCTATTATTGGACAACAACACCGAAAAGAGTGGAGAAATTTGAAGAGACCGCACGACAATTGCATATCAAATGCAGTAAAAAACTTTTGCATGATGTTAGAACTAGATGGAATTCCACTTATTTCATGCTTAGTTCTGCATTGAGGTTTAAGTCTGTGTTTCCTCGCTTGAAACAACGTGATTCAGCTTATAAAATTGTTCCTACTGAGCATGATTGGTTTCTTGCTGGTGAGATTTGTGAGAAATTGGAGTGGTTCTATCGTTTGACCAATACATTTTCTTCTACGAAGAACCCAACTATGAACACAATTTTTATGGGTATTTGTGAGCTTAGACTTCGAATGAATACTTGGCTCGATTGTGCATATCCAAAGGTGGTGAGTATGGCCGAGAATATGATCGAGAAATTAAAAAAATATTGGGAGGACATACATATTATTTTCTCATTGGCACTCATTTTGGATCCTAGATTCAAGTTCAAAATGATTGATTACTACTACGACAAACTACTTGGAGCCGATGCTTGGATTGAAAAAGAGAAGATTCGAAATGCGTTGTATGAGTTTGAAAATGCATACAAGTCTAAGTCTTCAGATGCTCTTAGTGGTGTCAATGGGAGCCAATCGTCATCGACTTCTCGTAATGTCGAAGGAAACAAATCAGTGTTGGGGTCGGATTGCACACACCTCATTGTGCCTATGGACAACATTGAAGAGTATTTAAGTGAGCAGTGCGATGGTCAAAATGATAAGTCTGATTTCGATAGGTACTTGGCTGATAAATTGTTGCCTCGAAACAATGACTTCGATATCTTAACTTGGTGGAAGACAGAGGGCATTAGGTATGGCACATTACGTTTGATTGCTAGAGATATTTATGCCATTCCTGTTTCTACGGTTGCTTCAGAGGCTGTTTTTAGCACGAGTGGTAGAATTGTGAGCAAGCATCGGAGCAGACTCATCCCAGACAGTTTGGAGGCATTGATGTGTTCCCAAGATTGGTTGTGGGAAACAATGGATGGTTTGATTTATATTTTATTCGATATTTATGAATTGAGTAATTTCATTATTTATAATAAGCTACCTTTATTATTTATTTTTTAATAATTGTTTTTCAGATGGAGCCTCCACGTCCTCTTTTCCACCACCTAGTGTGTCTAATGGGTGCGACTGCTTTCACTTGTGATGAGGACGAGGAGCAAGAGGTAAACAAATTAAATTTTGCTCTATTCTTTGTTTATATTTTTATTTGCGTATTATTTATAAGTTGTTTACTTTTTTTTTTTTT